GAAAACCGCTAATCGCAATCAGAGAATTTTATGCACATAGTTTCGTTAATACACATCTCTCATCAAACAAACCCCAAAAAAATAAAACCAACAACAAAATCCTCATCCGTATCAACGTTTTACACCAAATAAACCAAACACTGTTTCTCATCAAAAACTCAAAGGAAGAACCAAGAAAGGCACATATTCAGAAATCTCCGTCGCCGTTAAGAGCCTAGGTCTATAATCGTTTGCAGTTTTCTTTTCTGCTGAATTTTAAGTATCGATTTATTTATTGGATTTCATTAAGGTTTCATGAGTGTTTTATATCAATATATATAGGTCTAAACAAATTTTTTTAACAAAACCCAATATAATAAAACGTGGATAGCATGGAAATGTAATTATATTGATTTATTAAGAGTAATATAGGCAAACCAAGTCTTAAACTCATTCTGGAGTCGCTACGTAGGATTTTCGACTTCTCATTTATAAGTATAGATATATCGAATTTATGATGTTATAGCCAAAGCATTCTCTTTTTGCCCAATTCGGTACAATACTATATCATTCCTCTTACTTTTTAGTGTGATGTATATGGGGATCTTGTCGTGACGAAATCTATCTATTGGATATGGGATATCAAATTGGATGGTCCAAATTAAAGGTGGTGCCGCATGAAGTGATGATTTCATCTTAATGCCAAAAGGAGGATGTGGTCCGGTTAAGATTGGTCTTATTTTATGGATTAGTTTGCTGTTTATTTTCTTGTGTTTTTAATAATTCAAGCAAGTATTTCCGCTGATGATAATATAAGAGAGCTAGGCAATTATTTCAAGCTGATTTTTTTTTTTTTTTTGGGTTAGAGGTGCCTTGCACATTAGATCGAGATTCAAAAACCAAATTTCGGAATATATATACGCTTTACATCAATCAAGTGGAATTTCAAATGCATAAAATAAGAAAAGTGTAGTTTTTAAATAGATCTCACTCATCACAAAAGTGTAAAGTTGATTTTAGTTGAGTTAAAAATTAATGTTGATCTGCTTGGCTATCCATATAAAAGATGATGGGCATATTGGAGAGTGAATTACCATGGAGATATTTTTACTCACATCAATATCACAGTTTAAAGTTTTTTTTTTTTTTTTGCGTTTACTGCGAATTCGACATGGCTATAAAATGCAGGAATTTATGAAATTTACGGCTACTTGATCTAACATTTCTAAAATATATCGATTCTATCTAGGAATATGGTTGACAAAACTTAATTGTTAAATTGCACTTATCATTCATCCCCTTTTGTATTTGCTTCCATTCAATATCATCCCAAATTGGATGGAACAATAATTTTGTTAAATGATCTAACTTCTAAAGATATCTAAAGACAATCTAACTTCATGGTATTTCTCTTTTTGTTTTTGGTTTTTTTTTGAAAAATTACTTCTTGGTATTTCAATAGTTGATGATTCGTTCTGCGGGGTTTCTGTTTGAATTGTAGGTCTCTCAATGTTTAGTAAGAAAAGAGGTAAACACAAACATAGCTCTCGTTCTCTAACTTTTTACTTCCATTTTACTTTTATTTTAAATCAAATGAAGTGTAAGTCAGAGACATATGTTTAACATGTTTCTGTTGCCCTTTTTCTGTTTTTTGAAGAATTACAAGAGGCAGAAAAAATGATAAAAAAAACATGACTACTAATTTTTGTTTTATAAATTTTTATACGAATTTTTTTTTACAAGAGGAAGAAAAACTTTCAACAATTTTTTTTTACGTAGACAAAAAAATAGAAATAAATTAAAAGACACTTTACCTGTACTTAGCTTACAATATGTATGTATTTATGTCCATTAATGTGTATGATCTAAGCTAAGAAAAGGAAAACGAATGTTGATTACAATTATACGGCCAAATACTTTATTGGTGGCTTTTTTGAAAGAAAAATCCGACAAGCAAATCTTGAGTTTGCTTCATAACATGAACATAGCATATAATTTGTAGGACCAGTCTTCCTCTCAAGAAGATGAAACACTTTTTATAGGAGAGACAAGAGAGTCCCCTATTTCCACTACGACAACGACCTTCCTAATTCTCTTTTTTTTTCCCCCAAATAAAAGGAAATGTTGTCTACTAAAAACGTCGTCGTAGTAGAGGCATGGAACACTACCACAACGCAAACGCAAACACAATCGCAACCGCTACATAGACCGTCACTAATACACCCAACTTTCTATTGGAGTTACAACTGTGAAGTGCTCTTTCCGGGATGGCCTGGTTCTAATCGTGCCATGTATGCTCTTGCACTTATCTTTGTCTTCTTTTTGGCGTTTTTCGCTGAGTGGCTCGTTCGGTGCTCGGACGCAGCCTCCAACGTTAAACCAGGTGCTGATAAGCTTGCAAAAGTGGCGTTTCGTACAGCCATGTATGCGGTCAAGTCCGGCTTTAGCTACCTTGTGATTCTTGCTGTTGTTTCGTTCAATGGTGGCATTTTCCTCGCTGCGGTTTTGGGGCATGCTTTTGGGTTTGTGGTTTTCCGCGGACGAGCCTTTCGGAGTGTTGGTCGGGTCGACGGCTAGGAATGAGACATTTTTGGGTTTAACCGAACCCAACGAGGATGGCACTCATTTGGTTTTCTCTATTTGATTTGTGTGTTCTTTCAAATGAAAAAGAAAAAGAAAAAAAGGGAGCGTTGTTTGTGTGGTACGTTGAATTTGGTGAGTGGGGTGAATTCGTTGACTTTTTGTTATTTGGTTTTGCATTTGATTTATTTTGAG